TGTGTGTGTGTGTGTGTGTGTGTGTGTGTGTGTGTGTGTGTAGTGTGTGTAGTGTGTGTGTGTGTGTGTGTGTAGTGTGTAGTGTGTGTAGTGTGTAGTGTGTAGTGTGTGTGTGTAGTGTGTGTGTGTAGTCGTGTGTGTGTGTGTGTGTGTGTGTGTGTGTGTAGTGTAGTGTGTCTATTGTGTTGTGTGTAGTGTGTAGTGTGTGTGTGTGTAGTGTGTGTGTGTGTGTAGTGTGTGTGTGTGTGTGTAGTGTGTGTGTGTGTGTGTAGTGTGTAGTGTGTGTGTGTAGTGTGTAGTGTGTGTGTAGTGTGTAGTGTGTGTGTGTGTGTGTGTAGTGTGTAGTGTGTGTGTAGTGTGTAGTGTGTGTGTAGTGTGTGTGTGTGTGTGTAGTGTGTAGTGTGTAGTGTGTGTGTGTAGTGTGTGTGTGTAGTGTGTAGTGTGTGTAGTGTGTGTGTGTAGTGTGTGTGTGTAGTGTGTGTGTGTGTAGTGTGTAGTGTGTGTGTAGTGTGTAGTGTGTGTGTAGTGTGTGTGTGTACAGTGTGTGTATAGTGTGTAGTGTGTGTAGTGTGTGTAGTGTGTAGTGTGTGTAGTGTGTGTGTGTGTGTAGTGTGTGTGTGTGTAGTAGTGTGTGTGTGTGTAGTGTGTAGTGTGTGTGTGTGTGTAGTGTGTAGTGTGTAGTGTGTGTGTAGTGTGTGTGTGTGTGTGTAGTGTGGTGTGTGTGTAGTGTGTGTGTAGTGTGTAGTGTGTGTTAGTGTTGTGTGGTGTGTGTGTGTAGTGTGTGGTAGTGTGTGTGTAGTGTGTGTGTAGTGTGTGTGTGTAGTGTGTAGTGTGTGTGTGTGGTAGTGTGTGTGTGTGTAGTGTGGTGTGAGTGGTGTGTAGTGTGTGGTGTGTGTGTAGTGTGTGTGTAGTGTGTGTGTGTAGTGTGTGTGTGTAGTGTGTGTAGTGTGTGTGTGTAGTGTGTGTGTGTGTAGTGTGTGTAGTGTGTGTAGTGTGTGTAGTGTGTGTGTGGTGTGTGTAGTGTGTGTGTAGTGTGTAGTGTGTGTGTGTGTGTAGTGTGTGTGTAGTGTGTGTAGTGGTGTGTGTAGTGTGTGTAGTGTGTGTGTGGTGTGTGTGTGTGTGTAGTGTGTGTAGTGTGTGTGTAGTGGGTGCTGGGTGTGTGTAGTGTGTGTGTGTGTGTGTGGGTGTGTGTAGTGTGTGTGTAGTGTGTGTAGTGGTGTTGTGTGTAGTGTGTAGTGTGTGTGTGTGTAGTGTGTAGTGTGTGTTAGTTGTGTGTGTAGTGTGTGTGTGTGTAGTGGTGTGTGTGTGTGTGTGTTGTGGTGTAGTGTGGTAGTGTGGTGTGTGTGTGTGTGGTGTGTGTGTGTGTGAGTGTGTGTAGTGTCTGTGTGTGTGTGTGTGTGTGTGTGTAGTGTGTGTGTGTGTGTGTGTGGATGTGTGTAGAGGTGTGTGTGTGTGTGTGTGTGTAGTGGTGTGTGTAGTGTGTGTGTGTGTGTGTAGTGTGTGTGTGTGTGTAGTGTGTGGGTGTATGGTGTGTGTGTAGTGTGTGGGTGTGTGTAGTGTGTGGTGTGTGTGTAGCGTGTGGTGTGTGTGTAGCGTGTGGTGTGTGTGTAGCGTGTGGTGTGTGTGTAGTGTGTGTGTAGTGTGTGTATGGTGTTTTGTGTGTGTGTTGCGTGTAGTGTGTGTGTGTAGTGTGTGTGTAGTGTGTGTGTGTGTGTGTGTGTTGTGTGTGTGGTGGTAGTGGATGTGGTTGTGTGTAGTGTGTGTGTGTGCGGTGTGTGTGTAGTGTGTAGTGTGTGTGTGTAGTGTGTGTGTAGTGTGTAGTGTGTAGTGTGTGTGTGTAGTGTGTGTAGTGTGTAGTGTGTGGGCTGGGGATCCAGTGAGTGAGTGAGTGAGTGAGAGAGTGAGAGAGAGAGCAGAGGGCTGGGGATCCAGTGAGTGAGTGAGTGAGTGAGAGAGTGAGAGAGAGAGCAGAGGGCTGGGGATCCAGTGAGTGAGTGAGTGAGTGAGTGAGTGAGTGAGAGAGTGAGAGAGAGCAGAGGGCTGGGGATCCAGTGAGTGAGTGAGTGAGTGAGAGAGCAGAGGGCTGGGGATCCAGTGAGTGAGAGACTGAGAGAGAGAGCAGAGGGCTGGGGATCCAGTGAGTGAGTGAGTGAGTGAGAGAGAGAGCAGAGGGCTGGGGATCCAGTGAGTGAGTGAGAGAGAGAGAGCAGAGGGCTGGGGATCCAGTGAGTGAGTGAGAGAGTGAGAGAGCAGAGGGCTGGGGATCCAGTGAGTGAGTGAGAGAGAGAGAGCAGAGGGCTGGGGATCCAGTGAGTGAGTGAGAGAGTGAGAGAGCAGAGGGCTGAGGATCCAGTGAGAGAGTGAGAGAGTGAGAGAGCAGAGGGCTGGGGATCCAGTGAGTGAGTGAGTGAGTGAGAGAGAGAGAGCAGAGGGCTGGGGATCCAGTGAGTGAGTGAGTGAGTGAGAGTGAGAGAGAGAGCAGAGGGCTGGGGATCCAGTGAGTGAGTGAGTGAGAGAGAGCAGAGGGCTGGGGATCCAGTGAGTGAGTGAGTGAGAGAGAGCAGAGGGCTGGGGATCCAGTGAGTGAGTGAGAGAGTGAGTGAGTGAGAGAGAGAGAGAGAGCAGAGGGCTGGGGATCCAGTGAGTGAGTGAGTGAGAGAGAGAGTGAGAGAGAGAGCAGAGGGCTGGGGATCCAGTGAGTGAGTGAGTGAAGTGAGAGAGAGAGCAGAGGGCTGGGGATCCAGTGAGTGAGTGAGTGAGAGAGAGCAGAGGGCTGGGGATCCAGTGAGTGAGTGAGTGAGTGAGAGAGAGCAGAGGGCTGGGGATCCAGTGAGAGAGAGAGAGTGAGAGAGAGAGCAGAGGGCTGGGGATCCAGTGAGTGAGAGAGAGAGAGAGAGAGCAGAGGGCTGGGGATCCAGTGAGTGAGAGAGAGAGCAGAGGGCTGGGGATCCAGTGACTGAGAGAGAGAGACAGAGCAGAGGGCTGGGGATCCAGTGAGTGAGCGAGAGAGAGAGAGCAGAGGGCTGGGGATCCAGTGAGTGAGCGAGAGAGAGAGCAGAGGGCTGGGGATCCAGTGAGTGAGAGAGTGAGAGAGAGCAGAGGGCTGGGGATCCAGTGAGTGAGAGAGAGTGAGAGAGAGCAGAGGGCTGGGGATCCAGTGAGTGAGAGAGAGTGAGAGAGCAGAGGGCTGGGGATCCAGTGAGAGAGTGATAAAGAGCAGAGGGCTGGGGATCCAGTGAGTGAGAGAGTGAGAGAGAGAGCAGAGGGCTGGGGATCCAGTGAGTGAGAGAGAGTGAGAGAGAGCAGAGGGCTGGGGATCCAGTGAGTGAGAGAGAGTGAGAGAGAGAGCAGAGGGCTGGGGATCCAGTGAGAGAGAGAGCAGAGGGCTGGGGATCCAGTGAGTGAGAGAGTGAGAGAGCAGAGGGCTGGGGATCCAGTGAGTGAGAGAGCAGAGGATCCAGTGAGTGAGAGAGTGAGAGAGAGCAGAGGGCTGGGGATCCAGTGAGTGAGAGAGAGAGAGAGCAGAGGGCTGGGGATCCAGTGAGTGAGAGAGCAGAGGGCTGGGGATCCAGTGAGTGAGTGAGTGAGAGAGAGAGCAGAGGGCTGGGGATCCAGTGAGTGAGAGAGTGAGAGAGAGAGCAGAGGGCTGGGGATCCAGTGAGTGAGAGAGAGAGAGAGCAGAGGGCTGGAGATCCCGTGAGTGAGAGAGTGAGAGAGAGAGCAGAGGGCTGGGGATCCAGTGAGAGAGAGTGAGAGAGAGAGCAGAGGGCTGGGGATCCAGTGAGAGAGAGAGAGTGAGAGAGCAGAGGGCTGGGGATCCAGTGAGTGAGAGAGTGAGAGAGAGAGCAGAGGGCTGGGGATCCAGTGAGAGAGAGAGTGAGAGAGAGAGAGCAGAGGGCTGGGGATCCAGTGAGTGAGTGAGAGAGCAGAGGGCTGGGGATCCAGTGAGTGAGTGAGTGAGAGAGAGAGCAGAGGGCTGGGGATCCAGTGAGTGAGTGAGAGAGCAGAGGGCTGGGGATCCAGTGAGTGAGTGAGAGAGCAGAGGGCTGGGGATCCAGTGAGTGAGTGAGAGAGAGAGCAGAGGGCTGGGGATCCAGTGAGTGAGTGAGAGAGTGAGAGAGAGCAGAGGGCTGGGGATCCAGTGAGAGAGAGAGCAGAGGGCTGGGGATCCAGTGAGTGAGAGAGAGAGCAGAGGGCTGGGGATCCAGTGAGAGAGAGAGAGTGAGAGAGAGAGAGCAGAGGGCTGGGGATCCAGTGAGTGAGAGAGTGAGAGAGAGCAGAGGGCTGGGGATCCAGTGAGAGAGAGAGCAGAGGGCTGGGGATCCAGTGAGAGAGAGAGCAGAGGGCTGGGGATCCAGTGAGTGAGAGAGAGCAGAGGGCTGGGGATCCAGTGAGAGAGAGAGCAGAGGGCTGGGGATCCAGTGAGAGAGAGAGAGCAGAGGGCTGGGGACCCACCCAGTGAGTAACGAGAGGGAAAGAAGCTGATCTTTAAACGGTGCCTCTATCTTTGCTGAGATTCGTGGCTGAGATGTTGTGCGGCTGAGAGCTTTGTATAGAAAAAAAAATCTCGTGTTTGTAATGTGATTGGGAAGACGGCATATGGTGCGGGTACCTCCAGCCAGTGAGTGAGAGCGGACAGCAGGAGGCGGTGTGTGCACTGAGGGCTGACAGACGGACACAGGGAGACAGGGAGGGAGGGCTGTGCTGTGCTGAGCGGTGCTGGACTGGCCCCGCCCCCGCCCCGCCCCGCCCCGCGCGCCCGGGCTCGCCGGCCGTGCGCGTGCAGCGCCCTGACGCGGCCCCGGCCCGCCGCGTGACGTCGTACGGGGTGCGTGCGGTGCGTGCGTGCGTCTCGGTGCCGCCTGGCGACGCCTTCGCTCTCGCCCGCGAGCGAGCGAGCGAGTGAGTGAGTGAGTGAGCGAGCGAGCGCGCCTGCGCCTGCCTCGTCCTCGTGCGTGCGTGCGTGCGTGTGCGTGCGTGCGCGCGCGAGGCCCCGGCGCGACGGTTAGGGCGGGGCCCCCGGGGCATGATGGGAGAGAGCGTGTCCAAACGGCTGAGGAGCGAGACCGAGATGGAGGAGCGCTCGTTCTGCAACCCCTTCCCCGACTACACGGCCCCCGCCACAGCCACAGCCACCGCCACCGACCCCGGGGAGCTGGACCAGTGGTTCGACACGCAGGGAAAGGTAATTATTATTCATTTAACTGAATAAAGTTCTTCTTAAAAGAGAGGCCATTTGGGCAGCTCGGTTCATAGGGTTCAGTCCGACATCAGCCCCCGGGGGCTGTGACCTGCCCTGAGCTACAATAATAATAATAATAATAATAATAATAATAATCCCTGACTTTGATACAGCCCCTATCACGTCTTTGAGACGTTTCAAAGTGCCTCACGGAATATACCGTAAAGTGAATTGACTCTTTATTTTGTGGGTAAAATGCAGTTTGTGCACTAAAATGTTGTTGTTGTTGTAATGTCTCACAAACAGCCGTAGAGTGAATGACCAGTGTTGTAGGGGATGGATCTGTTGGCCACGACACTGGGATCTTTAATGACCACCTGAACAGGGAGAAGGGACCTCGGTTTAACGTCTCATCCGGAGGTCTCATCCCGTCACCGAGAGGTGTCTGTCTGTTCAGGTGGACCTTACAATCCTATTCAAAAAGAAAAGGGGAGTTTATACCATCACACTGAGTTCACACCCATAACACATCCCTCCCTCATCTGGTACTGAGGCACACCTTCCTCTCACCAGAGTGCACAGCCACGAATGATAACTCAAGCTCAAAAGACACAAATGTCATCAAACTTTTCGAACAAGAAAAAAATTAATGTGCTATATCCCAAATCTGGTTAGCGTAAAATAAAAATAATTATAGCAAATACTGAAACACCAGTTTAAGTTGGAAACGTGCATACAAAAAAATGCTGAATGACGATGACATTTTTCCAAATCAATTATGCAAATTATGGACCCAAAGTGAAGAGCATAAATAGTGCAGCAAAATAAAATCTTATGTTCTCTAAATTACTGAACCAAGAACATCACCAAATTATATCCTTCAAGGAAGCAAAGACTGACCCAAACCTTTTCATGTGTACAGTATCTGCAACATCCTGAACTCCTACTTTCCCATTGTAGCCAAAACCATTCCAATGCCCTCCTCACCGGTCTTCCATTATCCACAAACTTCCAACAATTTCAGAATTACACTGTTCGTATTCTCACCCACACTAAACTCTGCACTACCATCATAGGTTCCACTGGCTCTCTTTCACAGATCGGATCCTCACACTCCTACAAATCCTTTCATGCTCTGGTACCTCCCTACCTTTTCCACTCACTTACTCCCCACTCCACCACCCACCGCGTCCGCTCGGCTGGATCCAGCCACTATGCCCCTACACTTCGGAACTCACTCCCTCAATCCCTTCGTCTTGCCCCCTCCTTCCACGTTTTGAGATCATGCCTGAAGACCTTCCTATTTGACCGTACTCATGGTCACCTCCTCTCTCCCTTTGCTTGGCGTCAGCTTCCGGCAAGCGCTCCGGGACACTACCCCGCGTGAAGGGTGCTATATAAATGTCCCCTCCCTCAGCCCCCCTGCGTGAGCTCAAGTGCATAAATAACTTTGAGACATCCTCCCAATGTTATAATTGCAATATAAATATAAATTTGTTCTCTTTAGGAACCTAGAATTTATGAACCATTGATATTATTTTCATATCAGTGTTCCAGTATAGTACATAGTTAATCATTGAAACCAAATGAATCTTCAAAGCTTTTTAAAGCATTGTCATTTTTGATTTTCTTTTGCAAAAACTGATTTAATAGTTAATAGTTTGGATTTATGTAGTGTTGCTCACATAAAAATAAGTGTCTCTGTGTTTACAAAATGTAATTGAGATAACAAGGTAATCTGAATCCGCAATGTCCTATAAACATCAATGAGATGAGCAGCCAATTTATTTTCATTTCATGATAAATTTGATGAGGAGAGGAATATAAGGCAGTTTAACCAGGAGAAATGCTTCAAGTTTATAATAACCCTTGCATTTTATATAGTACCTTATCACGTCATTGATCATCTCAAATAATTTCATAGGATTCACTGTGAACTGTAGTGACTGTGCATTTGTAGACCAGTATGATAGCCAACTTGCGCGCAAACTGAATGACCAATTCCATATGGAGCCACCAGGAAAAACTCCATTCTCTTTTTGAGGAGTGAACAAGCAGAAGAAATGTCATCTTAATATAATAATAATAATCCTTGCATTTGATATAACGCTTTTCACGACTTCGAGACGTCTCAAAGCTCTTCACCGAATATACTGTAAAGTGAATTGACTGTATATTTGTGGGCGAAACGCGGCAGCCAATTCCACACAGCAGTGTCCCACAAACAATCGTGGATTGAGTGACCAAATTTTTTTTATATGATTAGATCGCATCTGAAGGATGGACCTCCGACAATGCAGCCCTTCATTATTACATTGGAGCGTAAGCCTAAACTATGAGCTCAAAGTCCCTACCTGGGGCTTGAACTCTTCTGACTCAACTACCAACTGAACTTCTTGTAAATGCAGTCAAACCTGTTATGCAACCACTTACTGTCAACAACCACCCTGGAACAGTCCCAATGGACTTTCCACAATAAACCACTTCTATTCATCAAAGACCTGTCTAACACAGCCAATGGACACTTTTTTTTAGCCCTGTCAGTGTATTGACACCCCTTCAACGAGCAGTTTTAAGTGAATTTAAGAGTACTTACCAGTAACGCATTACTAATTTCTGCATTGGTAATGCATTAATGTAGAATCCTGCTAGACTGCTAGTGCATTTACTGTGCTTAGCAGCCCATGTGATGCTCATGGATTCCTGCCTCACTGGTGAGATGTCGTTCAATGAACCAACGGACACTTACTCAGAGACTAACCTCACATAGAGAGGTCACTTTGGTCCAGTCCCCTGATTGGTTGCTTGAAACAGACTATACGTTACTTAGAAGTGTTTAAAAAGTATATTCAAATATTCAACGTCCCTTATGCAACCAGTTTTAGTGGTTAATATTACTAGATAGATATAATTTTTTCATCAAATTAAATACCACACGTTCTAAAAATACAAAACCATTGATATAATATTTAAACCGATAGATTTAGCACCAAAGAGTTGTCTATATCCTATTACACTGTGCCACGTGATCTTTGCATGATGTTTGCCTGAATTCAGGCAAGTTGTTTGTAGATGTGTGAGAAAGAGCAGTGATGACAGGTGGAAAGGAGCGAGAGGGGAAGAGGTAGTTGGAATAAATGATTCATAGAGGTTTTGAAGTCGCTACAAAGGAGAAACGCAGGAGGAAGAAATGTACATTTTACAATTTACTATAGGAAATGCTTGAATACTCAACATAGTTTTGTATGGGTAAACACAGTAAACGAATATTCAAAGTGGTCAGTTTCTGACTACGGTATTTATGTTTTTATCTACTGTCTGATATTGAAAACGTATGGCATGATAAATATGTTATTTTCACAGATCAATCCCATCTTCAGAAAGCGGATTGAAACTAAAATAAAGGACCTCCTGATACAGATGGAGGAGGGTCTGAAGACTGCAGATCCTCATGATTGTTCTGCTTACACTGGTTGGACAGGTGCGAATATTGCCGTTTCTGGTGTGTGTGTGTGTGTGTAAAAAAAAAACCTCAAACCTGTTCACTGCATATGGGCACTTTGGCCTTTTATCACCTGTTTATGATTGGAATTCCCATTTCTATGGGTATGTGATCAACTTGTTATGCTTTTAGAATGATGCCACTGTATCGTATGCATTTTTTATTTGTTTTTTTCTTCACAATTTGTCGCTTTTACAAAATTTTTAAATGTTCTTATATTTTGCCCCCATTTCCTATGTCTTGAAACATTACTCTGCTCAAGATAAAGAACAGGTGATTCCCACGCTTTCCCCCCCCTCAACTAACCAGTCCACTGCTTCACTCTTCAGGTTGTCAGTGTTACCTGTGTAAGAGAGGATGATGTTTTCTCTTTTTCCATTTCCCAATTATAGTAGAGATGAGATTTGTAGCCAATTACAGTAGGACCCAATTATAATGCATTGGGGTTACAATATGTAGATTTCTGTTAGGGACGGCCTTGACATTTATTTACCAAATGTGATCAACATCAGAGACAAGCTGATGAACTGGAAGTTTGTCTTCCTGTGTGTGGCAGGCATTTTGAAATGCCAATGGAGCTGGTTGTCTTTATGCACATTTGACTGGGGATTGTGCTCCATTATAGAGCTGGTTGGTATTTTATGGACCCATTGGGGCTGCACTTTATGTGAGGAATAATAGATGCATCACTGTGCTTGGTTTTAATCATCAATCTGAATTTTAAACAAAGCTATTTAGTAGTCTAATAAAATGGACTAGGTGATGATATAATGAGTGATGCATGCTATTTTATTATGCAAGTTATAAAGGTAGCACATTGTATTGGATACTACAGTCTTGTGTTCTAATCTAAAGTATTTGTAAACCAATGCACTATTGCTACTGGGAGGAACAGGAGGCCTTGGAGAAATCTGTTGGCAGTTGCCATGTTTTTAGGAACAAAACAATAAGTGCTCTAGAAGCTTGTATTGTATATTTATGCTTCATTCTGCATATTTCTTGTTCGTTGGTGTAAGATTACAAATATTGTAATTCCAACTATTGCGTTTCCAATCTTGGCCAACATTTTGAAGGATCTCTTAGCGGAAGCTTCACTCTTTTATTCACTCCCCTCCTCTGACTCCTCCATTGTCAACAGGAGAGAGTAAAATTAGAGGGTGAATTAAATTGTGAAAGTCTCACACTATCTAATGCCCAACTTGAGAGAAGATGGAAGAGGTCATCACATGAGGCCATGAAAAAGTACAAGTGTTGAGGGTGAGAAGAAATCTAAGCAAGAATCTAAGCAAAAAAAACTTGAGTATAGGAGTAAGAAAGAGCCACTTACCTTTACTACCTTTTGACAACTCAGCCTGGGTAGGAATTCATTCTCATTCTATCCTTCAATTAGAATTTAATCTGGGTCTTTATAATTTATAATACAATCTGAGATATGGATTTGTAGGCATAAAATTTCCTCCTGACTCAGGAAACTGTCAGTTCCTTTAATTGAACAACAATTCATCCTTTACTGTATTTTGTGTATAAATGCTTCCATAAAAGCAACTATTTCTTGAGGGGAAGAAAAATCTTAATGTTTTGATGGGATTTAATTTTTTTCTTTTAATAAGATTTAAGAATAAGAGCCGGTAAGAAACAGTATTATGTCAAATATCATGACCTCCGTGTTGATCTCTTGTTTTAAATTGCAAAACAAAACCAAAATAAAAATGTTATAACATTTGCCTACAAGTAAACAGTCACTACAGTTTACAGTGTATCTTGTGAAGTGCTTTGAGACATTGATTGTCATCCTGATGTGAAAAGCACTATAGCAAATGCATGGATTGTCATTTATTAATAATATTTGAGCATCTACTGATGCATCCACACTTGTATCTCAAGTACCTATGCCAGGCGTAAGTCACAAATTCCAGGATAAGTTTCAGATGGGGAGAGAGGCATATTGATGGATTGTTATTTGTATAAAAGTTGCTTCCCATTTACCCGTTTCTTGCGATCTAGTGAAGTGAGAATTTGATTCTGCACATCGTGCTGAGGAATGGAATTTTTTGTTTACTGGCCATTCCACTTCCTTTTCAATTGAGCGGGTGCTGCATCCCCAGGATACAAAACGGGGTGCATTTTAACGTTCAAGGATGAGATCTGAAAGGCTTTTATCCAAACTGATCTTGCGATCAGTTCTTTTTCAGTTATGCCATGGAATCTTTAGAGTGACCCTGAACAGGCAGACAACATTTCATCTGAAGAATGGCACCTCCAAATACAGCACACCACAAGCACTGCATTGGAGGGCCACCCTTGCCTCTACAAATTCAAAATCTTATTGTGGGTCTTGGACTCATAACCTTCCATCTCAGAGGAGAGAGTGTTACCAAGTGACCCAGACTGATGCTTTTAAGCCACAATTCCAGATAATTCAAACATGGGTCTCTAGCAGACTCTCTCCATTCTGAATAGCAACCATATACCCCCATTTTCTGTTTCCTATGGTTTAATGAACATTCCATCCTTGCTGCCATCTTTCCATTAACAACAACTTTCATTTATAGTGTGCCCTTCACATGGGTTGGTGTCTTGGAGCACTTAACAATGGCAGAGCTTGACACAGAGCCAGTGGGTGGAGGGGTGTGTGTGTGGAGATGGCCTAATGCACGGTAAAGAGGAAGGAGGAGGCAAGGGGGAGGGATTAAGGCAGAGTGCCATCATTTTGGGGTATAATGGCTGAAAATACAAATGTCGATGGTGGAGGAGAAGGATGAGGGATTTGTAGAAGGCCCAAGCTGGCTGAGTGAAGGAGGCGAATAGAGGACCAAGCAGATCGGAGAGGTAGGAGCATAAAGTGATTCGCACATATTGGAGGATCTTGAAATCAATCCATTCTGTAATTGGGAGTCAGTGAACCCAGGCAAGTATTGGGATGATGGGGATATGTAGTTTGGTGCCAGTTAGGATCCAGGCAGCAGAGTTTTTATAAAACTTAATTATATAAATGGTGGCACTGGAGAGACCAGCAATGAGGGCATTGGCATAATTGAAATGGGAGTTGGCAAATGCATGGAAAAGGCTTTCGGCTGCGTTGGGGGTGAGGTATGGTCGGAGGTTGGGAAATTGGCAGAGGTGGAGAAAAGTGGTCCTGGTCAGAGGCCAATTGTAGAGAAGGTAGGATAGCTGGGGGTCAATACTTACATCTAGATTGCGTCTGAGGGATAGGTCGGGGGCTGAAGGATAGGCCAGAGAGTTTCAGGAGATCAGAGCCATGGTGTGGAGACATTGACTGGAACCAAGAAGGATGTTTTTTGTCTTGTCAATGTTCAGCCGCAGGAAATTGGTACTCATCCAAGCCTTTATGTCTGACAAGCAAGAGGCAGAATATCAGGGGACCTGGAGTTTCGGCTGGAGGAGTAATAGATTTTGCTGTCATTAACACCGTGTACTTTCATTTTTTTTAACCAGCCTCTTATTCAGCACCGTATCAAAAGTCTTTCGAAAATCCATATATACCACATCGACAGCCCTACCTTTATCAAATCTCTGCTATTTCATCAAATAACTCCTATTAGATTTGCCAAGCAAGCTTTGTGATCAACAAATCAATGCTGACTATCTTTAATCAATCCATGGTTTCCTAAGTGATTATTATTATTCCATAGCATAGCCTCGAAACGTTTTCCTAATAGGAAAATGTTAGGCTGATTGGTCTATAATTATTGCACACAGCTGTAAAAACAGATGAAAAGGATTCAGTATCCTAGGAATCCTAGTTTTAGCTGCACTTTTTTTATTCCTTGTATCAATATGCATAAATCTATGTTCTATTCATCCCATATTTGAATCAAATGAATCTTTCCCACTGTTTATCTACTGTCCGGTCTGCCAGTCTTTCTACAAGTTTATCTGTGTTAGTTCCTTTCTCATTTCCTTGCAATTTTCCAGTTGGGTACCTTTGTCCTTGACTACCTCCTTTTCAATTTGTACATGAAATAATATTGTGGACACTATTTGCTAGATGCTCCCCAATCCTCATTGCTCACTAGCAGACTTTATTTCCTAGAACAAGATTGAGAATTGCCTCCTTCCTAGTTGGACTTGAATCATGCTGATTAAGAAAACAATCCTGTGTACGTTGTTGAAAAGCTTGACTTGCTGCCAATTAATGGTGATTTGCCCTCTATATAAAGATCAGGTTATTTTTAAGCAAGTTACAAACTAAAGGGTGAAACTTTTTTTAAAAAAAAACTTTGTTTTGTTTTGCGGCCATAAAATTAGACAGCATGTTATAGCATGCCTATGGAAAAAAAGGCCACCGGTTTTCAATACCCACACCCCTCCCCCCCTTTCTGAGTCGTCAGATTATCACTGACATGAAATTTTCCTTTGATTTTCAATTTTATTTTTGATCAGCCAGATGTCTGACACATGCAGAAGGCCATCATCATGCTCAAGATTAGTCAAACTACTATAATGTACGTCATCTACATATGGAAATTTCCCAGGGTCAAGACAGTCACTGAAATGGAGCTGAGGGGCAGAGCTTCAAGGAGGTCTTATCAATGCAACACAATTGAGGTTTGAAGTACAGCTGGAAGTCGAGCTGAATGCCAAGATATAGCTGTGGCTAATTAAACTTGATATTCCACAGATGCAGGAAGGTGGATTTGGTCGAGTACCTTCAAGATCCTTTCAATGCAGGGTGCTCAAACTGAATTTCTCATATTCCTATACATGCTGTTGTTAAATTTGTTATTGCACATCTGAAATACCACTGAATTCAACCTATTATAATAGCATTGGAGAAATATGAGAAGTTTAATTTTAAATAGTTTTTGATTTGTGTGTATGTATAATTTTGTATATGTAGAAAATGAGAGAGAAGTAGAAAGGATTGGAGAAACATGAGCAGCAAGGTAACATGGAACAGACAGTAGTTGATTTAATTAATAAATGATAAATTTAACAGTTGTATACAAATATTGAAGGGGGGTGAAGAGTGCTGCTTCTACATATGCTCTTTAATTATGGTTTCCTGCTTTTTTTGACACTAGGGATCGCCCTTCTTTACCTGCAGTGTTTCCGTGTGACACACAAGTTGGCACATCTTCAGCGTTCCCTGGACTATGTGAAGAGGACTTTGCGTAATCTGAATGGTCGAAAAGTCACATTTCTGTGTGGTGATGCCGGACCTTTAGCTGTTGGTGCTGTGGTGCACCATAAACTGAAAAATGAAACTGAATCTCTGGATTGCATTAAGAAGTATGGGATTAGTCCATATTTATAGCCGATAAACCCTTGACTCTTCTTTCCCCAGTAAATTGAGTTTAAGTTCCTCATTCTTGCATTCAGATCCCTCCCCAGCCTACTATCTCACCCTAGCCTACCTCTTCTGCCTGGTCAAACAGGCTAAAGGACCTTCTTTATGCGATCTTCTGCCTTTCTTCAACCACACTGATGCTGTCGCTCCCTTCGCTCAGTGAATACTGGCCTGCTTCATCTCCCCTATCGACCCCACCATCAATGAGCAGGCTTTCAGCCACTCTGCCACCACTGTGGAAATCCGACACAAGATCCCTCCCTCTCCTCGTTCAAGCCAATTCTCAAACACAACAATATAGTATGGCCATCACACAGGGAATTGTCTCAGAGCATTGTGTCTCAGCATGATCTGAAGATGGGCAAGGAGGGGGCAAAGAAGAGGGATTGAGGCAGAGAGTTCCAGAGTCTCGGGGCATAGTGGTCGATACAACAGATGGAGTGGAGGGGATGGGGGAATATGCAGGAGGCCGGAGCTGACTGAGAGAAGGGTGTGGGTAGAAGAGTGAGGTGTAAGCAGGTAAACCCTTTTCACTACTTTTGGTCATCTTTGCCCACGCCCCCACTCAGCTCCCAGCCCCAGCTTGGATATCTGTCCAACATTGTTGAGTGCTCCTTGGGTGAAAGGCACTATATAAATAAAATACTAATTTACATTGCAAATATAAATTGTATTCTAACATTACAAATTTGGTTTTAAAATGATTCTTCTGTCTGGTGGGGCAGGCAGGGTGTGACGCAGGCAGGTTTCTGCCGAGCGGAAGGAGCAGGCTGGTTGGTAAGGCTTTTGGCATGTTGCAGAGGTAGGGTGGGGTAAGACTGAAGGGAATTAAAAGTGAGCTTGATCCTCTGGGTGATGTGGAGCTGGGTAAGGATGGGGGTGATAGGCTCAGCGAGCCTAGTACGGGAGAGGACACAAGCTGCAGAGTTCCGGAGGGAACAGGTGGGAAGTCCGGTGAGCAGAGAGTTGGCATAGTCTAGCCTGGATTTGATGAGTGCAAGGATAACAGTGTGAGTGGCCCAACAGAAGAGATAGTGGTAGAGGCAGACAATGTTGCGGAGGTTGGGGGAAAGCTGAATGGGTCAGGGCACGGATATGTGGTTTGAAGTACAGTTCAGAGTCGAACAAGACACCGAGATTCCACACCAACTCCATGAGGTAGAGTGTGCATCCGTGTAGATTGATTCTGTCAGCACCTGGATTGTTGGAGCTGTCGTCCTTTGGATGAGACATGAACCAGACATATGTCTGTTCATATGCACGTTAAAGAAAATTTAGTCTTTCCTGATATTCTGGCCAACAGTCCATCCAAATAAAATTGGTCATTTACTTGAAGGATGTTTGTGGGACGTTGCTGCTGTTGCATTTGCTTACAAAAGACATAGTCATTACATTCTACAGTAAATCCTGTGGATTTTGATGACATGATAAAGTGCTTGGGACGTCGTCCTGATTGATGTGAAAGGCGCTATACAAATGTCATTTTGTTGTTGTCACATCAAATGCAAAGATTATTATATTATCTGAGTTTGAATTATGCCCATCTCTTTATACAAGATATAAAGTATCCTCACTTTTCACATCCTTTGTAAAATGTGTTTGAACAATCTCAATCCAGTTCCCTGTGGACCCAAACTGAAAGCTATCCATGAATTCAACAAAGATTCATTCTAAATTAATAATCTCACTCAGAAGTCATAAGAATGAATGCTATTGGGAATGTAACACTTGTCCTTTTCTGAGGTTTGGGTTTAAGAAACCTGGTTAGTTACACAGCAAGAAACATGTGTTATTTGAAATTTAGTATTTAATGCTGGCACTTCTTATGCTAAAAGTAGAAGCATATTAATTTTCTATCACTAATACCTCTCACAATAATAATTGTATAATACTCTGCATTTGATATAGCTCCTTATCACATCATCAAAGCACTTCACAGGATATACGGTAAAGTGGATTGATTTTGTATTTTGCCGGCAAAACGCAGTTTGGGCACAGCAATAATAATCCTTGCATTTGATATATCGCATTATCGCGTCTTCAGGACGTCTTCAAGAAGTGCTTCACAGAATATACTGTAAAGTGAATTGCCTATATTTTGTGGGCGAAACGTGGCAGCCAATTGCAAAAAGCAGTGCCGCGCAAACAGTCGTGGAAAGAGTGACCAAATATTATTATTTTGAAGAGATTACCCCCAGAAAATTGATCGCCATGTGACTACAATGTGCCACAAAACATGGAATGAGTGACCAATTTTAATTGGGGGATTGTTGAGCAGGACACGGGGAGAAATTCCCTTCTTTTTGAACCATGCCATGGGATCTTTAATGTCCACCTGAACAGGCAGTTGGGACCTCAGTTTAATGTCTCATCCAAAGGATGGCATCTCCGACCATGCAACATTCCCCCAGCCTTGCATTAGAGTGACATCTTCGACTATGTGAAGTCCCGATTTTGTTTGAACCCACAATGTTCTGACTCGGAGGCGAGAGCACTACCACTGCGCCAGGCACTCACACCTTTCATGAGAAGAGAAACTTTTACAAACTTGTAAAAGAAAATTGTGGTAAGATCCATTGCCTAGAAATTATACCTCAGTAGTTCCCCAGTGTTCTGCTCAAGTTCTTACATTCACAGTTGCCATTCCACTTTAATGGCATTTCCTTCCACCTGCCTTCTCCCTATACATATATCTTTCTCTCTCTGATAAACATACCGAGTAAAATGAGATGTATGGTGCTATCTTGTGAGATTTGACTGTTTTTGAAAGAATAAGTTAGAACATTTGCCTATGACCATTATAGTCCTTTTATTTGCAGCTGATTTTAAATCTTATTTTCAAATTAACATTTTTTCAGTCAGATAACATACACATTGTAGTATATCTAGGACCTTGAAGATCAAAATTGTAATATTGTAGAAATTGAGAACCCAATTAATATTTAAAATGGACATGGCAGTATAATATTTGTCAAGTTTTTTTAATATTTTGTTGTACGTCGGATATGTCATTTTCTCTTAACAACCATTTGCAATAACATTTTCTTGTTTTTGCTAGACTTCTACATTTGCACAGAAGTGTTGTTAGCTTGGATTCAGAAATTCCAGATGAGCTGTTGTATGGCCGAGCTGGGTATTTATATGCTTTGTTGTATGTGAATGCAGAGATTGGGCCAGACATTGTTCCTCAGACTAATATTAAGGAGGTAAGGAAAGTATCTCTTTTTTTCTGTAGAATTGATCTGATATTTTATTACCTGCAGGATTGTTTTCTGTGAAAATCTACCATGTTTATATATTTATATCTATAAATATGTTCATATGAAATTAGCTTATAGTGTGCTTTATTTATTAATCTCTACCTTTGTTGTTTAAATTGAGATGATATTCCAAATCTATACATTAAATCCATTTTGGTGATGTGTGAGTGTAATAGAAAATGCATTGGCAATGCCCCGTCAAAGCAGTGTTTGATTTATAATGGAAATCCCATTATTTGTACAAATTGTCAGTTTACTAAACATGCTCCATGTTGATACCAATGGTACAAGATATTCAATCTGTCCTAATTCTTTAATTGTGTATCACCTACCTGTTTTCTTAGTTTTTCTTGCAATGAATGTTATGAATTACCACATGATAAAATGCCCCTCGTACGCTTTTTATGGACAACTTTGTTCAAGGGGCAACCCCTTTATAGCGCAGTTGTCTGTGTCCAATATCAAAGATACTGCATTTTAATCCTTGTATTTTATATAGTGCCTCATCACATTTTGAGATGTCTCAAAGCACTTCACAGGATATACTGTAAAGTGGTATATTGTGTGTATTTTATGGGCAGCCAATTTGCATACAGCAAAGACCCACAAACAACCATGGTATGAGTGACCGATTTTATTTCATTAAAAGGGACATAAAAAAAATAGTAAATTTTATGTCACTTTTTGTGGGTTGTGCAGAAGATGTGACTGAAGTCATTTATTGCACTTATAATGTGCAAGAAATGTTGCTGATGTCACTTCAAAGTGACATTAGTGATACTTCATGCTCAGTGTGTATGCTGGGAAGTGATGTTGGCAACAACCTGACAATTCGAAAGTCAGACATTTTTTAGCATAGAAAGCCTAAGTTAGAAGTTGTTTTGCACTTTGGTAACCATAGATCCACAGGGAATCTCATTCTAATTTAACTTCAAATATTTTTATACAATGATTACAAAACTTGTAGATTTTAGAGAAGTAAGACTGTATTTTATCAAGTACAATTAGACTACTATTGTACAAGATTACTATTAAACTTTGAAAGTTATTTTTGTACAATGCTTCAGGTTTCTGAGTCTAACGTTTTCTCCCTCTTCTCCCCACAACCCTCCTGTTTTTTTATGTACAGGTGGTTAATGCCATCATTGAATCTGGTAAAAACCTTTCCAAAGAAGAGCGCAAAGTTGACCGCTGCCCACTTATGTATCAGTGGCACAGAAAATTGTATGTTGGAGCAGCCCATGGTCTAGCAGGGATCTACTACATGTTAATGCAGGTTGGATTCCCCATCCCCTTTGGCTTCCACCTTCAGCTCAGGTGCAGTGTAAAGCACTTTGAGACATCCTTCTGACGTAAAAGTGCTCAATAAGATTAATTCAGTTTATTAGAAATCTTTGTTTCTCTCTTTACATCTGTAGTTCCATAATGTTTAAGTAATATTCAGTTGTATCCAACATTGTTTGTGAGATGCCTGAAAGGGTGGTGGAGGCCGATTCGATAACAGCTTTTAAGAGAGAAGTAGATAATTATTTGGGGAGGACAAGTTTGCAATGGGGAGAGAGTGGGGAGTGGGATTGAATTGGATAGCTCTTTTCAAAGAGCCGCCACAGACAAAATGGAATGGCCTTCTTCTGTGCTGTATAATTCTATGATTCTATGATTCTTTCCCCTTACAGTAAAACAAAAGTGAAATGTTCATTGAAAACTGAGGTCACCGATATCAGATTTCATGTTAAAACAGCTGACTGCTAGATTAATAGGTTGCACTAACATCGCTTCCTGCTTTGCACATTTGCAGTAAGTGGCATTGGCAGTGACTTGACAATCCAGAAGTCAGCCATTTTCCCTGCTAGCATGGGAGCCAGCTGGCTGAGATATAAGCAACTGCTCTGTCTTGCTTTATCGGGCCTCTTTGGGGATTTTTATGGATCCCAAACCTGAAGTTCCATTGAAGATATCAAAAAGGAATTGGTCAAATATTTGAAAGGCCAAAAAATATATAAAAACAGTATGCGGAATTGGTTAGATGATGGGACTACATTTATTATTTTAGAGAGCATTAGATTAGGCAGAATGACCTCCTATGCTGCAACAATTCTATTTTTGCCTCCAATTTGTGAGATTTTTCAGCAAATACCTGCTGCATTATGCCGCCCCCCCCCCACCAATCCCTGTCTCAAGACGTACCTCTTTGACTGCGCTTTCAGTCATCTATTCCCTCTCCATCCCCTTTGGCTTCCACCCCAGCTCAGGTGCAGTGTAAAGCACTTTGAGATGTCCTCCTGACTCAAAAGGGCTAAATAAATGTTTTGTCTTTTTGTTTTTCATAGCCAAGTGCTAAGGTGGAACCAGAGATTCTGATAGAACTGGTAAAACCCAGTGTGGACTATGTGCGACACAAAAAATTCAGATCTGGAAATTACCCCTCGTCACTGAGTAATGAAACTGACAGACTGGTCCATTGGTGCCATGGTGCACCTGGTGTTATACATATGTTGATACAGTCACATAAGGTTAGTATTTGGGAATGATCTGAAGGCTTAAATGAACTGTTAAATGTTTTTACCTTCCTGCCTTAAAAAGTATTTAGTATGGTCACTGTCATTGAGGCTTCCATGTAAATCTGAATGTTGATGTTTCATAGGTAGTCGATTGAATAAAATCTCATGAAAGGTTCAAGGTTTTTGACTTTTTTAATCTCTTATTTTAATTGTACTATTGATTTCTGTTTGCCATCAGGAAGGACAAATAAAAAGTGTCCTCCCAACAACCTTGTGTAAAATTGGTATCTCTGCTTCTGAGATCAAACCAATCATGTAAAGATGCTCACCCAACCAAAATGTAACTCTTACCATGTCAACAGAACTTGAATTTGTTTTTAAAATGTCTATGTTGCCAATTGGATTCTAATCCTTTTGAAAACAGCCCATGTGTTAAATGGCAGGTATTATTAATTCCACTCATTTGGTAAAGACCCACCTCCTGCCTTTGTCTGATCATTAAATGACCAGCACTAATTCTACATAAAATGCTGCATGCTTTTATTTAACCATTAATATGGTGCATATATATAGTATTTATCTTTTGATAGAATTGGATTTTTATAATTGTTTAATATCATTAATGTAAATGTAATCTAGATATAATATGGTGCGTTAAAATATTTTAAGCACAAATTTCACATATGCATTTACTCTTGTGTTTTTTGTAAACAGACCTTTAAGGAGGAAAAGTACCTGAAGGATGCAATAGAGTGCAGTGACGTAATCTGGCAACGAGGCTTGCTATGTAAGGGTTATGGAATCTGTCATGGGACTGCAGGGAATGGCTACTCTTTCCTTTCGCTTTATAACTTAACTCAGGACAAAAAGTACCTCCACAGAGCCTGCAAGGTGAGGTGAAATATTATTAGCAATACTTAATCTAATTTATTTTTATGAGTTCAAAACATAGTTTTGTTATTTTGTATAACAAGATGTCGTCAAAGTTCATTACTCAGAGTTCTATTTTGTAACATAATATACAGTATTCAGTTTTCTTAGCTTGTTTAAAATCAGAACTAATAGTTGAATACATAGTTAAAATCCTTAACTACTTAGTTGACTGAGAATGTAAAAACACTTTTAAAAAGTGAATTTCTGTTATATTCAGCATTTCCTGCCTCGATTATTTTAGTGCCCTCCATGCTGGTCTCTCAAGCTCCACTATTTGTAAAATCCAATTAATTAAAAACTTTGCCACCTTTATCCTCACCTGCACCAAACTCCTTATCCCCATCACTCCAGTTCTTGCGGGCTCCACTGGCTCCTTATTATAAAACTGATCGAATTCAAGATCCTTACGCACGTGTACAAATAACTCTCCGAACTGCTTACACCCCACTCCACAACCTGCCACCTTCGCTCAGCTGGCTCCAGCCTCCTGCACATCGCTTGTCCCCTCCACTCCACCATCGGTGCTGCGTTTTCATCCACTACACCCTGAAACTATGGCACTCTTTGTGTCAATTCCTCTGCCTTGCCTCTTTCTTCCCCGACTTCACATCACACTTGAGGATCTTCCTCTTCAACCGTGTTTGCGGTCACCAGCCCCTCTCCCCAGCTCAGCATCAAGCTCCACCATTTCAGCGCTCCAAGACGCGCTACTCTATGTAAAAGGTGCAATATAAATGGCAGTTATTGTTGTATTACGGCAATTCATATTCAGAATTAATATTAAATATAGTAGAAGAAGATTAATTTTGTTTAAACTTATTTAACAGTTTGCGGAATGGTGTTTGTCCTATGGAACACATGGATGTCGGATCCCTGATAGACCGTACTCTTTATTTGAAGGTAATGCATTGAACTGTGTGACTTTTTTAATAAAGGTTATTCAATTGCAATGATAAGGTTGGGAGTGTTTTGGATGATGATAAGAACAAAGCTCGAGCAGTACAGTATCACCTGATCCCTGAAATGTATAAATGTCTTGTTATATTTTCAATCTACGTTTACTTTAAATTGTGGGTAAAGTATTCACTGGCTTACATGTAGTTTTCCAAGGAGGTCAAGCTTTCACTAATGAACAATGTGAGGCGAATTGAAGTGCTCGTGTATTACATGGATTCAAACTGTAAAGACAATGGATTTAAATCGCAGATTGTTACAAGGACTGGGATTGGTTTGGGATTTAAATTTTTTTTTATTCTGGTACCATTTCTTCATCTCTAACTAAATATAACCATGACTTAAAGCATTTGATACAAGTAGATATCAGTAATACAGAACAGCCCTGTCAAAATGACTTCATTGTAGCATGGATGTGGTTATAAAGTGATAGCGCTGTGTTCACTGTGTATATGTGCAGCAGCCACCTTTTTGTACTAAAATGGCTGCCTTCAAGGTCATTAGTTGCCGTTGATATCACTTCTTGCTTTGCTGAAGCTCAAAGCAGGAAGTAATGTCAGCGGTGACCAAGTGACTGGTAGTGAGTAATTTTAGCTTCTTATTAAAAAATAATAATAATAGTTTGGTCACCCAATCCATGACTGTTTGTGGGACACTGCTGAGTGCAATTAGCTGTCGCGTTTCGACCACAAAATATACAGTCACTCCACTTTGCAGTTTATTCTGTGAAGCACTTTAATAATAATAATAATAATAATAATCCTTGCATTTGATATAGCGCTTTTCACGTCGGGAGGACGTCCCAAAGCGCTTCACAGGACACACTGTAAAGTGAATTGACTGTATATTTGTGGGCGAACGCGGCAGCCAATTGCGCACAGCAATGTCCCGCAAACAGTCGTAGATTGAAAATGACCAATTTATTATTGTTTTTGGTTTTTGGAGGGATTATTATTAGGCGTGTGGAGTAAGGAAACTTGCCCAAGGTTTCGCCCTGACCTGCCTGGAAATGAACTCAGGTGTCTCGCTTGCAAAGCGAGTGCTCTAACCACTGAGCTACTTTGGGACATCTCGAAGACATGATAAACCTCTATATCAAATTCAAAGATTATTTATATATATATATATTATATTATGCTAAACAGACTGCCAACTTAAGAGTCGTTGGTTCACTGCCAATGTTGCATTTTGCTCTGCTTGCACAGTAATTGGGAAGCTTTGTTATCAGTGACCCGATGATCCGGAAGTTGGACTTTTTTTGTTTTAGTTGAGGTCCACTAGGCTGTGTTCAGGTGAAATCAGCTATCACTCAATAATCCGTATTGAGAATTTATGGATCCGAACAGCCTCGTTCTAACAAGGATTCTATTTGTATTCTGATGTACGAGTAAACATCACTAAATCATATGCCATGATGTTTACAATATGTTGTGGACACTGAATCTCAACGAATTAAAACAACTTATATTTATTGGTAACATAAATGGTGCTGCATGAAATGTATTTGAATGTCTATCTCAGACATTATAATATACCGTTAATTCTAGAAGACGATTAAAGAATTTGGAGGATTAGAAGGAGATTGGACTGAATGACTTGTGTTGAGTTAAAAAACACCAGCACAGATTTGATGTGCCAAATTGCTTGTTTTTTTATGCTGTAACATTTTGATTGTAGCCTCTGATATACCTCAACTGATATATCATGACTGCAACCATGTTTTTTTAATAAAATAATGGATATAATAAGCACATCAATAAAATAATAGGTACACAATAGATAACAGATTATAGATCTCCAGTTATAGATAACAGATTGCTCTTCATAGTCATGCAAATCAGCCTCACAATCAAACATCAAGTAGTTCAACATTACATAGAAATGAAAACCAACTTTGAAAAACTTTGAAATGAAAATCCCCTTTTCTAGCCCACTTGTTCTTTTTTTAAAATAATGAACGTAGAGTAGCTCTATCAATATAAATGGAAGAACATGTCTCCCTTGAACTTCCTAGTGGAGTTGGTGACTGGGAGAGCTCCCCTCGACTTGTAGATTATGGCACCAGTTTCAATGAAACCTGTAATTGTTAGTGAGTAAAATGCTTGTGTATTTGGTAGAGGGTAAAATTCTCGACCAGAGTACAGGTTAGTAAGTTATACAATATAAACAAACAAAATAAATGTAAGTGAATATACAATGTGTCCATGGGGGAAGAAAAATCATGATTCAAAGGGAGGAAAAAGTCAGTCTGAAGTGAAGGAACTTCTAAGACTTCTGCCTTAGAAGTTCCTTTCATGAGTGTAAACAGCAAGATCCTATCAGACCTGACAAGTGTTGGAATGAGTCCAGTTGTGATAACACTGCATATGGGTATGTGAAGTGGGAGGTAAAGGATGGGATGTATATGCTGAGCCTCACAAATTGCAAAAATTATGCATGTGATCAACGAATACATTTGCAATCATGTTCTGCTTTCTTTTCATAGGCATGGCTGGAGCTGTTCACTTTTTATCTGATGTGCTGAATCCAGAAACAGCCCGCTTACCAGCATTTGAACTCTGACGTACAACAAATTAGAGCCGATGAAGAATCCAATATTTTGTCTGATTTTCAGAATGAACTTCTTTTCTGAGAGGAATAGGTTCTCTTGGTGTCCCTTGTAAGAAATACAGATGCCAAAACTACCACGTTCTCAAGAACTACGGGACATTGAAAATAGTGTGTTGAGAAAAATCTTTTTTGTCTTTAAATTCAGAATGGTATTCGAGTAAGAAGCCATTATAAATTTAATGCAAGTATTCAGGTTTTTGATTGTATGCATGCTTAATACGTTGGTGTTAGTGACTTGTCTTTGTTCTTGTTTGTGAAAAAGTCATACTATTTGTAAAGTCTTCATGATAGTGTTCTTTTGTGCATGTACAGAAGTGCATAGAACCAGTCATTGATCCTCTGGCATAAATTTGCTGAGTTATCTATAGGATAAGCCTTACTTGGTTTAATGCTAGATATATTGAAGACTGACAAAATCATTTGGCTCATTAATATGTTAAAAATAATTTATTGTTCATTGTTTTGGTCACACGTTGTTAAGTAAAGCAAGCTTTTGAGTTTCAAAATGTAATGCTAAAATCTCCCACTCTTCCTTCCATTCCTGTTTACTGTTATACTGCTGCACTGAAAGTAGACTGGCCGTCATCAAGTTAATGTTTCATTTAGGTTTTGCAGTTTGCCTAAATACTGATGAACGTGAGCATAATTCTTAGAGGATGCTGTAGGGAAAAATGTTTTAACACTAGCCAATAATTACAGAGACAAGGTTTCATAAGAGCAAAATTCCTTCTAGTGTTAACAACAACAAAAAATTAACATGTTTTGCCTTAGAACTGTTCACCTTTACAACAGATCAGATTGTCTACTGAGCTTGATGTTCACCTGTACCAGTTGCTTTGCTATAGCAGGAAATCTATAAACCATACAGGTAAATATGGCTAGATGAAAGAAAACGAATGAGACCTACAGAAATTTGGCAAAGTTAAAATTTATTGAGTCAACCAATGTTTTGATAAACCATTGTTATCTTGGCATTTTTGCCTGTTGTATTATTAAGCAGCCTAACTTTCCTTTGTCCCCAACAAGAAGTGCCAAATGCAAAATTAAAAGTATATGTACTTAAAAGTTTTAAGTCTTTTTGTAAAAAGTGCATTGTGTGATATTTGGATTTGTAACACAAACCTAGTTGTCATTGTGTTATAGGTATTGTAGGCTGTGCCATGGTCGTTTATTTTACTGTAACCCAAAACTTTCCATGGCTAATTTTTCTTGAGTTGAAATATATGGTTTGTATGATTTATTGTTCTCAGTCATCTGTTTCTTCTTCAGATACAGTATTGTACTTTAATGTTTAAAAGCAGGCCTTTGGGGAGTATGAACAGCTTGTCAGAAAATATTGACATTTGTATTTGTTTTGATTTCCTTTTCTGTTTGTATACTTGTCTTAGTTAAGTTATTCCATTATTAAGAACCAAAGATGGTGTGCAAACCATAGATACAAATTTCAGCACAGTGTAATTGTCTAATGTCTACTCTAATTGTAACTATCTAATTTTTGAGACAATGCATATGTTTTTAAAGCTGCAGCATTCCACTGATGTTCATGGGCTTTTAAAATCATCCCATACATGACTGTCAGTGAAAATGATGCCACACTGTTTTATATGCACTGTTCTATGCTGTCTAGACTGATGTGTCTTTCTAACTGTCCAAACTGTAATTTGCTTTCATTAGAGCCCACTTCTTAAAGTTTCCCAGTGGGTATAAATCTACATCTGATGTTACTGAGTGACAGGTGATCTCACAAATTTGCTTTAGTATGATGAAGCAATAAAATAAAGTTGCTGCTGTAGGAAAGTGTGATTATTTGCTTGAAATTAAATGGAAAATGTGAGCGTAATCTGCAAAAGTATTTGTGCATTACGCCATTAAGTGAAACATCTCGGAGAACTAGTGGCAGTTGCTGTAATTGCTGTGTTGTAGAATCACATAGAACTAGCTGAAACAGATGGTAGATATAAATCTAACTGACAAGAGTACATGGCATTTGAGGAAGGGTAGTGTGATCATCTTCTAAGTAATAAGCCCTAGGGAGTTGAACCAGCATTATCGGATAAACAATGAGATGAAATTGTATGGAAAGGGCCAGAACACCATTCAGAATTAGTGAACGAGTAGGGAAGATGACCACAATATTCAAGGTTGATTGTTATCAGTATATTTTTGATACTAGATCTGGACATTGAGGACCAATGGATGGAAAATATTTTATTTGAGATGATGACAGAGGACTTTGGGTATAATTACTATAATAGCAATGTACCCAATGTAAGGAGAAAATCAAGCCTTCAACTTATATTTAATATTGACTAGCTGGAAGCTATGAAAATAATTTAAACTTTCAGTAGCAAATGGTAGTTAATGCTAAATTATTTCCCCAAGTAATGGGAAAGTATCTAGAATGTTAACTATAGATTTAGGAAATACCATGGTAGCATTACTGATTTTCGTAGCAGCTATTCTGGGTTATGGCCATGGGTAATGTGGGAGCAATTCAACTCAATTTGTTCTGCTTGTATATGCAATTGATTTCTTGCAATAACGTCATTTATAGCCAGAAGCATAGCTTTTGCAACATATGGTTCAAACAAGGTAGTTAATCTTCTTTTAATAATGCAATATGTTTGTACTCAATTATCTGCCATCAAGAAGACTATCACCCAGTAAATTCAACTCTAGAACAAACACATTTTGTTAAAATGGAGGAATTAAGCCTTGTTGCTTCAATCCCAAACAAGATCAGTTGCGACACTGAGACACTGACCCAACAAAGAACAGAGGAAGATGAAGAAAAATAAATATGAGTAAATATATTGGGAGGTAAGACAGTCCAAGAATATGTGTCACAGGGAATAAATGGAGATGTACAGTATGACTGAATCCATGTGAAAGATAAATTAGATTATGAGGGAAGAAAGACCGGGATAAGAGCAAGTAAGTGAGAATTTGCAACAGGCTGAGATGAAGACTCACAAAGAAAGACTGATGAGAAAAAGACATTTTGTTTGGTCAGCCGGGCGTCTGACACGCAGAAACCCATCACCATGCTTAAAGAGTATCCAAACCATGCATCCCACCTACACATGGAAATCCCAGAGATAGATTCTTGAAATGGAATGCGCACTCTCCCTGGAGGAACGCATCCTGCTTACCTAATTCCAGAAAGTTAGGTGCAGGCTGGCGAGAGCCAAGGGTTGGGGAACCCAGAGTGTGGTTGGGGTGCTTCTGGTGTCTAACTAAAACTGCATTATATTGCTGTCTGGCAAGCTTTCCCGCAGCTGGTCCAGCTAGGTTTACCCTACCCGTTAGGGCTTTGGCTTGCAGGGTTAACAGGAGCTGAGTTTGATGGCCCTCTGCCCCCAGTGACTTCGGCCATTCCAGGCCCTGCCAATGAGCCAGTGCTATCATCAGCAGTGCCCTGGAATAATAATAATAATCCTTGCATTTGATATAGCACTTTTCTCATCTTCTAGACGTCTCAAAGCGCTTCACAGAATATACTCTAAAGTGAATTGACTATACTTGTGGGCGAAACGCGCAGCCAATTGCGCACAGCAGTGTCCCACAAACAGTCGTGGATTGAGTGATCAAATTATTGTTTTTTTCTTAAGGGATTATGATCAGGCTTGTGGAGTAAGGAAACTTGCCCAAGGTTTCACCCTGCTGGGAATACTGCAGAAATGTCTGGCTCAGGAACTGAACTACCACAGAGGGCTGGCTCAATTCTGACAATCTGTTCCCAGGCATGTTAGCTTGGAGCCAGTTCAGCTGCAACGAGACCCCGCTTAAGAGAGAGAGTGACAGACACAAGGTCAGAGTGATAAGACAGTATACAAATCCCCAGGCAGATGCGATAAGCTCAGGGAGGGGGAGAGGAAATAACTTTGTTCTGAAGAAAATTTAAACATCCATCCCAGGGAAAAGGGGAATCTTTACCACAATGGAACATTTTTTGCAGTGCAGTGAAGATAAATCAACTTGGATCAATTTATTCTCTCAATATAAATAGCACATTTTGGCAGTGACAAATGATTCAGGGTTCCTACATGCTTTTCAATTTGGTTTGTAATTATCCACTATCATAACTTACATTTACATCAAATAACATACAGTGACAGTCCTGTGTTTATTCACTGTTTGTATGTGTTGAGATTCAGAAGAGTATTTTTTTGAGGAAAACTTGACTTTCTCTGTAGAGCAATTGACTGCAATGTTGGTCACATCTAATAAAGGCATTGCAGTGCAGAAGAATGTTAGGCTTCATCAATCTGTCCTGACAACTTATTTGGTACAAGCTTTAACTTCTGCTGTATTCATTCAGGGACTTTGAAAATTATAGAGCAAGAAATGAAATTGCTAGTGAGAATTGTTTTATTATAAAGAAAGATCTGTAGGTTTTGAGATGACACACGTGGAATGCAAGATTGGTTTTATTTGCACTTGCTAGTACTGTAGCAGTTTTTTTTAAAAGCAATTGACTTCACCATGAGATGTGCCTGAAATTAATGTCAGCTAGTTAATGGTTTGCAACTAACACCTGGTGGTTTTGAGATTCTGAGCAGCCTCTTATAAAGCATTATAAAAGGTTATCCGAAAGCAAGAAGCAACACTTTGTATTCTGAAACCTATTTGTCAAACGCATACAGAATCAAGGCGTTTTTTTAATACCCTGACCTTTCTAATGATATAAATCCAATAACTGGTTAATTTCTGCTCTATTTTTAGGCCCTTATTTTATTAGCAAATAGATGGAATGCGCTCTCTCCCTGGAGAAACGCATCCTGACTAAATACACAGTACATCCAGACGTTGTGTGTAAAAAAAAGAGGGTGAAATTACAGTCTAGAGGGTGAAACATAATGGAGCCGAGCGGCAGAGAGATCAGGGGACACATATATCACTGAAAGTGGGATTTCAGGCACAAAAACCTGTTAAGAAGGTGAATGGGTTTCTGGGCTTTATAAATTATACTTTTTTATAAAAGTAGGGAAGTCGTGTGGGAATTGCACAGGATGAGACCACAGGTGGAGTTGTGTGTCGAGTTTTAGACGTTCCATTGCAGGAACAATATTGCAGAGGAGAGAGGAGCAAAGATTCTCTAGAATTATACTGAATATGAAACATAATGTTCATTAATATAGATTAGTCCTGGTTGGTGTGAAGCATACACAATCAAATTTTGAGGATCTAAATTCTGCTGAATTGCATTGAATACAACTTAGAAATCCCATGCCATTTAGTTACAATTAACTATACGAAATAAATCAATGTTAACTGACAAAGCAGCAAAGTTGTTCCTTTCTTGTACTCTTGAACAACACCTCACTTATTTTGAATACAAAAGCAAGATTAGATTAATTTAAACTATAATTTGTTTGATGCATTTATTTCAACTTGGTCCATTTGATAGCACTCTCTGCTCGGGTTCAGAAGGTGGTGGGTCAAGTCCCAAGTCGTGAGTGACAGTCTGGGCTGACACTCAACGCAGCATTAGGGAAGTGCTGCAGTGTTGGTGTGTCTTCGGATGGAATGTTAAAGGAAGGTGCTATTTGCCTGTTCAGACAAATATAAAAGATCCCATGGAATTATTCAAAAAGAAAATGGAGCTTTTCCTGATGTTTCACAAAACATAAAAGATCCCAAGAACTAAAATGCAAAGGCAGCTTTCAACACTCCCAGCAGTGTCAGAATGCTACAAAGAAGCAACATAAATATTTTGGAAGTTATCCAAATGATCATAGAAAGCCTTTGTTTAGAGCATATAATAATAATCTTTGCATTTGATATAGCATCTTATCACATCTTTGAGACGTCTCAAAGCGCTTCATGATTATACTGTAAAGTGATTGTATTTTGTGGACGAATGCGGCAGCCAATTGTACACAGCAGTGTCCCACAAACAGTCGTGGATTGAGTGACCAAATCATTATTATTAGTTTTTTTGATGGGATTATTGCTCCTGGAAAAGCGATCCGCTAATCGACTAACAACCAGGTTCCTACTTACTGCTAGGTAATCAGAGACGTGTGGAGAAAGGAAACTTGCCCAATGCTTATATGATCAATATTATCTATTTGAAATCTAGCCTGGTTTCAATGGGTTGAATGGCAACAATTCCTATGATTCAACACAATAATGATAGCATTGTTTGTGCAGAAAGTACCAGAGGCTGTGAATTTAATCTTGTTGCATTAATAACTACTTCAATCCATCCTAAAATTGCACGTAACCAAATGTACACAAAGATAAACCACACAACAAACAATCTCTATCCACATTTCTTTTATTAAAATATTTAATGTGTCAAAAAATTCAAGAGAGAATTACATAACTGTTTGCTGAACAATTCAATTGAGGTGTACGAGAGATAGGATAGTGTAGTTCTTTTTAAACTTTGAGACTTTTTACTTTTTCCAGTCCTGTATATTTCTGTTCTATATATCAAATTGATTTTATAGGTATCAGTCTGCCTTATTAGGTAGCATTCTTTCCTAGGAGTCAGAAGGTTGTGGGTTCAAGCCTCACGTTGAGACATATTGTCAAAGCTGACACTCCAATGCAGTGCTGGGGGCGTCCTAGTAACATCCTTCAGATGAGATGTGAAACTGAGGTGCCATCTGCCTGTTCAGGTGGACTTTAAAGATCCCTGTTCAAAAAAGAAGGGAGTTTCTCCCAATGTCCTGGCCGATTGAAATAAAGTCATCCACTCTATATCTGTTTGTGGGGCATTGCTGTGTGCAAGATTGGCTGCCACACAAAATGCACCCTGCCACTCCACTTAACAATATACCTATCCT